TAGTATTATTATTTTTTTTTTTACAAAAGAGGAATGAAAGGGTTAGAAAAGCTGTCATACTGAATGTTTAAAGAGGCCGTAAACACTGATCTTTCTAACTTCATTACAGAATAAATAAAATCAGACGTTGTTCCATTCCAAATGAGTGGCAAAAGTAAGAAGGATAAAGTACAATAAATCCTTAGAATTAGACCAGGATTCCTTCATATTTATGTAAAATGAAAGTATGGACTAAAAATTGTTTAGATTTGCAAAATCTATAAAAATAAAGACCACTAGAAGATAAAGAACTAGAATAAAGGGTGTAGAGATGGGAAAAGAATCAAACCTTGGGCTTAAAGAGAAAAGAACAACACAATCATATAAATGCTTGTGCAATTTAAGACTACATGTAAAACGAGCTAGAATGTTTATGTTTCAAAGCTATATGAAGGTTAAAAAAATTTGGTTTGGTTTGGATAATAAAGAAATCTTCCATGTAATTTCTGAAAAAAAAACAAAACAAAAAAACAAAGGCACACACAGTTTGAGGCCAACCTACAGTTTCACTAGAGAGACTGGCAGTCTCCTCCTGTGCGATTAACTGCCTCTGTAAACCCCCGGGAGGCTCAGTTATGGGTCTGTTCTGACTCTGTGGCACACTACAACAACAGCAGCAGCAGCAGCAGCTACACAACTAACTAGATGTTGTTCTTGGATTAACTCATTGTGGCTCTGCCAACAGATACCTCAATTAGATGACATTCTTGATAAATTTTAAATGCTTTTTCAAAATTGCATTTCTTTATGTTTGTTTAATGTTACATGAAACATTCTAAAAGTCTACTACATAAAACAAGAGATAATCAAAGGCTTTGTTGGCTGTAATCTTATGGAAGCAAATCACCAGGCTTTTCCTTCACGGTACTGCCCGATGGATTTGAACTACCAACATTAGGCTAAGAGTCAAGTGCAAGTGGTTCATGTCACCTATTGTATAAATATTTTGTTGCTGCTGCAGTTGTTATGTGCTGTTGAGTTGACTATAACTCATAGTGACACTGAACAATAGTTGTGTACCTTGTCCTATCCTGAACCAACCTCACTGTCTTCAAGACACCTACTATTGCCATAGTCGCTGGATCAATAGAATGCATTCAGAGTCTTCCTCTTTTTTGCTGACCTTTAACCCTTCCAAGCATGATGGACTTCTCCAAGGACTGGCCCCTCCTAACAATAGGCCCAAAGTATGCGATATGGAGTTTCAAAATCCTTACCTGCAAGGAACAAACTGGTTTCATCATCTCCAGGACAGATCTGTTTGTTCTCTTGGCAGGCTATGCTATGGTAAATACTGTTCTCTACCAGCACAGCTCAAAGGAATGAATTATTCTTCTTTCTTCCTTAATCATTGTCCAGTTCTAAGATGCATAGCAGCAACTGAGGAGAGCATGGTTTGGATGAGGTGTACCTTAGTCTTTAGGTTGACATCTTTGCTCTTTAGCCTTTTAGAGAGATCTTTGACAGCAGATTTTCCCAATGCAATGAAGGCATGCTTTTATTTCTCCACAGCTGGTGCCAAGGATATTGACTGTGGATCCCATGAGGATCAAATCGTTAACAACTTCAATCTTTTCATGATGCTGCCTCTTGTGCTGGTGATGAGAATTTTTGTTTTCTTGTTGTTGAGATGCAATTTGTACTGAAGGCTGAAGTTCTTGATCTTCTGCAGCGAGTGCTGCAAGTCTTCCTCAGTTTGAGTGAGCAGTTGTCATCTGCATAATACAGGTTGTTATTGAGTCTTTCTCCAGTCCTGAGTTCACTATGACTCTTAGTAACCCTTTGGACAAAAGATTGGAACGTTCCCTCATCTTGTACCAGCCTCGTTATAGTCACTCTGTCAGTTCATCTCTTTGAATATTTTCCTCTCCTTTGCTTAACATTGGTATTGCCTCCTCTATTCTTAGAATGTATTGTTGTGGAATTAATTCTTCTGTTGTGTTGTCAGTTGCGAATTTCCAATTTGTCTTTGTACTTTGCCATCTGAAACATTTTTCCCCCCATAGAATCAGATTTGTCTTCTAATAATCCATTTCTAATAGTATTTACATTATTCTAGAAAACTGATAAAGTTGGAAAGTATGTAATTTACGGCTGAATAAATTATGAAAATCAAATGAACTTCCATCAGTATATTTCAAAACAGACTTCCTAAAAGCACTTCCAATTGTGAATGTGTGGTGTTTATTTTTAAATTGGAATTTTTAAGTTAAAATTTAGTGCCCTTAAATGGTTTTGTTTGTTTTGTTACCTGGAGTAACATAAAATATATTACCTTATTTACACTTCTCCAAAGGAAAAGAAAGCAAGTGTGATTTGATTATCTTTGCATTCTTAGGTATGGAAAATACAACCAAATTGAAGGAAGTATATTCTTAGAAGGGAGATAAGAATGCAAAATTAGCTAAGTACACTATAGTTAGAAAGCTGTTGTTTCTATCTGCCATTTATAGTAAACAATAAAAGAATGGCTCTTGTAGTTAGTGATTGTTTAAATGTGACCCCTTGATCATTTATGGAGATATTTGGCTGACCCCTTTCCATTTGATTTAGAGGAGTCATTTATGTAAAACAAGGGCTCAAAACTGGTAATCATAGTGAAATTGAGTGTGGTGTAATGAAATGTGTTTTGTTTTTAGGCCATGACTTTGTATAGTCCTTTTGTCTTTTATCTAGTTCATTCTACTTTATATTACTTGTCTGACCCCGTGTGCACTGCAGTTAGCAACTCTTGATAGACCCTTAGTGTCCTATCTTCAGCGTTCTCCCTGCTCCCCTCTTTCACAAGAAAAGAGATGGAGGACTGACACATACATTGCCTCTTTGCTCTATTAAAACTGAAATGAAAGTTTGGCCCTTTGAAAGCCTCAATGAGGACTTTGGATAAGATCAGAAAACTTATTAAAATCCAGTTTTGTCCTGGTAGCTATGTCTCTTTTTATTTTCTTACAATTAATTTATTACCTATGTCTGACTTCTGTCCTGCCCTCTTATTAGTGTCCTCCATGAGTTAGCAGATTAGTTTCCCTCATTGTATTCGTATTTGTGTTGGCTCAGAGCTGTTGCTGTTAGTCAACTTGTATGAAGTTCCTTTTGTTGATGAGCTATCTATAGCACAGACTATTGAACAAAAAAATGTCTCCCCAGTGACTGATAACTATTAGCAAAAGGTAATGACCCAAGCTATAAGATGATAATTTTTCTGTTCTTAAATGCTTTGAATACTTCCTATAACATTTGTAAGATATAGGAACTCTTTTTTTTTTTTTTTAGAACTACTTCAACTGGGCATAAAACTACTTTAACAACATTCACTGAAGCTCAGTTCAAAGTTCAGCAATTTTAAATTAAGTTTAATAGCTTGACTTTAAAATTTTTCATAGACTATGAATTGCCCATTCTGAGTGGGTATGTGTTCAAGGTCATTATGTTTTTCCTTGTTAATTGTTCTTTTATTGGTTCAGATTTCTCCTTTTTAAAAAATTAACCATCTTCCTTCTGTGTTCAAGTGAGAAACTTCACAGCTTTAGTGGCTATTTTTATTTTTTGACAAAAAGTGTTTCGTTACTGTTTCTGTGTCTTACGGTTTATCTTACATGATAGAGTTAGTAACATTCTGAAATGTGAAAATTTTTAATGAAAATACACATTTAAAAAGAAAATTATTTAATTTCATTAAAAATTTTCACATTCCAGAATGTGGGCAGGGAGAAAAGTGCAATAATGAACAAATGGAAATCCAAAATCTCTGTAAATTTTCAATAAAATTAAGCAAATAAAAAGAAAATTATTTTTATGATTTTAGAACATTTGTTAGTGTCTAATAGTTTTAATATATAGTGACCAAGTTTGTGACATTTTAATGAATCACAGTTTTAATCACAGAATGTTTAGTATCATATTGTCTCAACTTTACTAGCAGAAACATCATTAAATTAGTTAATTCTGTTTCTTTTAACACTACTTTGGTTTTGGGTGAAGATTTAACACAGTAATTTAGGTTCCCATTCAACCATTACCTACCCAGATTGTAGGACAGCATGGGTTGCATTCTCCATGGGGCCTGGACATTCTCATTATTTCTACTGTGCTTATTCCATCTGTTTTAGGTGTTAACTCTTTAAAAGCAGAATTTTTAAATTAGGAAATTATAAGAAGGCCAAATGCTTCTTTCATTTCATTTTTTGAAGCTACTCTGCATTCTATTATAATATATATTACATAATATATATATTATTTTATATATCATATACTTTGTATAATATATATACATATATTAATTATGATACTGTTTTGTTAAGCAGTTAAAAAATAACCCCTACCCATCAGTAGCTCAAACCAAAACCTCACCGTTGACTATATTCCAACTCTCAATGAACCTTGGCATCAGAGTAGAAGGGCTCACTGGGTTTCCAAGGTCATGCTCCTTATGGAAGCAGAATGCCACATCTTTAAGCCTTGGAGTTACAGGAGGTTTCAAACTATAGAGCTCTTGGTTGAGAGCCAAGTAATTAACCTCTCCACAACCAGGGCTGGCTCCTTCAGCAGCCTTGGGAGCAAAAAATTTAGATGGTAGAGGGTTTTTTTTAAATTTTGTCTTTTGGGTCACTAATACCCAGAATTGGAATTCTCTTGTTCCTTTGCTTATTTATAATTATGTTTGCTTAGAAGTGTTTCTATATTTTTATAAACAATTGAAATATAAAACTTATACATGATAGCACAGGAAATGTTAATTCTGGTTAAGCAATATCCTCAATATAATTTTCTCTTTACTATTCCTCTTAAAGAACTGCACAGTGAATCCAAAGGAAAATATCCTCAAGAGAGTACAGGATATTGGGTGCATCTTTAAAGAGAAATTTGCCCAAGCTGTGGGACAAGGATGTGCTGAAATTGGATCCCAGGTAACTGTCATTCACGTTAATAAATGTCACTCTGTGTGCTAAATAACAGTAAAGTTACTCTCTGTCAACCAATAGAAATAAATACACAGCAGTTTCTAAATCGTGCTGCCTATCAGTGCTATTTGTAGGAAACTTTTTTGGAAATCATTCCCCATTTCATTACAAAATCCCAGAAATAAGCATGTCTGTTATAGAAATTTTAGAAAATACATATGGGGGGTGGAGAAAAAAAATCTTCAATGATTTCTTTAGTATATGATTGTGCTTCTTTCTTTGTAGCGATTCAGACTTGGAGTTCGATTGTATTACCGAGTAATGGAATCCATGCTCAAATCAGTAAGTTAAAAAGAACATAACGGAAAAAAATTCAGTCCTGGCATAAATAATGTTTCAGTTAAACTTTAATATATTTTAAAAATTCTATTTTAGGAAGAAGAAAGATTAGCTATTCAAAACTTTAGGTAAGTTATTAATTTTAGTGAGGTGGGGGAAAGGTCTTCCTTTTCAAAAAAATAAACGGTTTGAAATCTTTTTCCCCCCCTCTTTTAGTAAACTCCTGAATGACAACACCTTTCATAAGTCTTTGTTGGCATGTGCGCTTGAGGTTGTAATGGCTACATATAGCAGTAAGTAAAATTTTAGTGAATAAATATTTCAAAGTTAAGATATTTACTAAAGTGTGAGTTTCTGGGAATAAGGTTAAGGAGAAGAAATAGATATATTTTAGTATATAATGACAGAGCTGTGGTGGCGTGATTGATAGGGAGTTTTACTGCTTACCCAAAAGCCCTGTCTCTGGTGGTTTCAATCCATAGGCAGCTCTGAGGGAGAAAGATGAGCAGTCTTCTCCCATGAAATTTAACAGCCTCCAAAAAACTGGATGGAGGCCTAGCTATGAGTTAGTTCCGACTCAGTGGCAGTGAGCAATAGTATATAATGAAGAACGTAACTGGCTGTGAGACATTTAAATGGCTTATTGTCTGAATCATTTCAGATCATCTTGAGAACATTATTTCACTGGGCTCCTGTTTTGGGCATACTAAATGAATCCAGGGAGGGTACTTGTCAGTACCTGGGAGATTATAAAGTGCCAGAGGAGTTTTAAAGAGCAGCCTCTGTGGGCATGAGACCAAAGGTTGGAGCTAGTACACAATACACAGAGCAATGTTTAGGTGTTTTCATTTTTTAAAACGTGTTATTTTTACAAAACCAAAATTACTTAAGGCTATAAATAAATAATAAAAGAATAAATTCGTAAACACATGGAAAACTATGACTCTTTAGTAATGAAATACATATTTAAAGAGCTGTAATTTTTGAAGTAGTCAAATTAGTAAAACTGTAGAAAACTCACTCCTTTTCCAGGAAAGAATTAATGAGTGAGTTAAAGGGATAGCTTAAGGCTTTGCTAATATTATACCAACTCATTAGGAATTGTGATGAAGGTCTGAGTGTGTGTAAATCTCTAAAAATTCTTTTTAGGATGTATGAGATACATACATACATTAAGTATACATACACTCTAAGTTTATAAGCATGCTCCCTAGTAGTAAATGGATTCGGATAGAAAATATTCTGTTCCAATTGAAAAAAATTTTTTGCATTCCTGAAAAAGTGTTAGTTGTTTGTTTTTTCTTTGAAGTCTTCGTTTAATATGACTGTATAGACAAAAAAATACATAGTTTAAGGCTTACCCTCTCATACTTAAGTTACCTTTCTTCTTTCATTTTTAGGAACTACATCTCAGCATCTTGATCCTGGAACAGATTTGTCCTTCCCATGGATTCTGAATGTACTTAATTTAAAAGCTTTTGATTTTTACAAAGTGATTGAAAGTTTCATCAAAGTAGAAACCAACTTGACAAGAGAAATGATAAAACATTTAGAAAGATGTGAACATCGAATCATGGAATCCCTTGCTTGGGTCTCAGTAAGTGGCTAAAAAATTTAAACATATTCATACATGTGTGACTAACAGATTGTTAGAGATGTTTGTTAAAACTTCCTTCAAGAATAAATACACTGTTACAGATAATGTGATTTTAGGATTTAGCCCAAGAGTCAAGTAGAATATTAGAATGCAGTTTTATCTGAGCTTCCTAGGTCATCTAATAAGCATGATGTATTTGTATAATAGCTTTTCTAAAAGAATGCTGAAGTCTTTAAAATATTTGAGTAATTTATATTGTCATGTTTGAAAATAGAATTGTCTTCTCTTGAAGTTCAGTTGGGAACTCTGGTGCCTTGTAGTAAGCTGTGCAGCAATTCAAAAAGCATGTAGTTCAAATCCACGGAATGCTCCAAGGGAGAAGGATGGGCAGTCTCCATCTGTGCAGTTAACTGCCTCTGAAAACTTGCTGGAGGGTCAGCTATGCATTGGTTCCGACTTGATGGCACACAGCAACAATGGAATCATGTTTCCTTGAGGGATTAGAAGTGATTTGAAGGAGCCCTGATAGCAGTGGTTAGTGTAAATGAAGGGTCAGCAGTGCGAACCCACCAACTGCTCTGCAGGAAGAAGATGTGGAAGTCTATTTCTGTAAAGATCGTGGCCTTACAAACCTATGTGGAGTTATATTCTGCCCTGTGTGGGCTTTATGAGTTGGAATCTACTTGATAGCCCATGACAGTGATGTATTATTTAGGAGTCTCTGGGTGGCACAAATGGTGAAGCACATTGCTCCTAATAGAAAGACTGGCTGTTTGAGCCCACTCGGAGGTGCCTTGGAAGAAAGGCATGGAAATCTGCCTCAGAAAGTCAGAGCCTTGAAAGCCCCTTATGAAGCAGAGTTCTGTTTTGACTATGGTGACATGTGGAGTCACATAAGTAGAGTTCTGCTACTCAAGAGGTTTTTTTAGAATAAGCCATACCTAAAAGTTAGACTACTGACTTTCAGATGTTTGGGAATAGTAAATGAATGGCCAGCAGGTGATGAGATTTGGACATCTCTGCTTTAGTGATTCCAAACATGTTAAAATCTTTATAAACCAAGAAACATCAGATGCTTTATTCTGGAACAGACTTTTCTAAACTCTTATGAGCTCTTCCCGTTGATTTCCCTGTATCTCTAGCAACCTTAACACCATTCCTCTAACAGCAACCAGAAAGATCTTTAAATAGTAAATATCAAATTAACTCCAGATTAAAACCCTTCAGTGGAGGGCATACGTGTCTGGTAATGATGGAAGACCCTAACCCATGGCTTGCTTGGAAAAAAAAACCAAAAAACCACAACAAAGCAACCCATAAAGACCCAACCACTATAAAACCCGTAACTCATGAAAACCCAGTTGCTTAGAATCACTGGACTGAGAAGAGCAGGTAGCCTCAGAGTTGGTTCCACATCAATCATAGTGCCCCTTTCTGAGGCTGTAATCTTTACACAAACAGATTGCCAGGTGTTTTTATCCATGGAGCAAGTGGTGAGTTCAAAATGCCAAACTTCCTATTAGCCATTGAGTGCTTACCAAATGCTCTTGCAAATAGCCACAGCTTCAGAAATCACATTGCTGATGAGTAGATTTCAATTCACAGTGACTTGTAGTACAGGATGGGGACCGAGCTGTGAATCTCGGTGCGGCATAGCAGCAAACCACCACCAAGTTAGCTAGCAAGCCGACTTTTAAACCACTAAACAACCAGGGCTCTCTGAGACAGACGCTAGTGGGTAACACATGCTTTGGCTGAGAGGGAGGAGAGCTGCAAGTCTTTCCCCTCTGGGTGGTGGAAATGAGAACAGTCTGGCTCTGCGCCACACCTGGAATGGTTTTTCCTCCTTCAGTAACTCTAGACCATCTGTGGACTATTTCCTCAGATGAGGGCTCAGAGAGGAACTCAGTGCTGACCTTTGACTCTTCCCTCTCAGCTCTCTCCTTTCTGGATAGCTCTCTACTTTGGTTCCTATTCTGCTGATTGTTTTTCAGAATGCTAAAGGATCATACACAGTATCTAGTGTTTGATAGATTATTTGTAAATATGTATTCCCGGTATCACTTGTGTTTTCCTGTATTTAATGCTCTCTCTTCTGAGTAACACTGTTCTGGAGTATGGCTTATTCCATGCAGCAGTAGTAGAGTACAGAAGTACCAGTTATTAACTGTTTCCTTATATGATATTTTAACAAGTCACAATTGAATCCCCTTTAAATATTGTTAGCATGCAGTTGTAGCTGGCTCGTGAAATTATTCTTGGTCCTATTTTTCTCTGATCACCTGACATTAGTATGCTCCTCCCCCCCCCCCCGCCAAGTTATAAAATTATTTGACTAAAACAAGAAGTGGTTGAACATATTTTAAATTTTTTTTCTTCCTTAAATTTCAAATGTAGGGCTAGTTTTGTACATTAGTACTGTTGCAATGTACAGCCTATGTTTTTGGAGTGAAGAAATTTTAAGCTGCTTTGGTATTCTTTTAAAGTGTCAAATTGACAGGAAGTGAACACAAAAGGGAGAAAAGCCTGTGGCTCTGAAAGAAGCAAAAAGGATATCTGTGGGGTGTTTATGTGGTGGGTCATTAACCTCTTGTGCACTTTGCACAAAGGTTTTAGTGTTTACCATTGGACATTGTTTTTAAAATGTGTGTGTGTGCGTGTATTTTTAAACCAAGAACTAGGTTTCAGAAAGGTAAGTTATTAATTATTACAAAATTTATTATATATTGTATTTACATAACCTCGTGCCATTATAATGAAAAATGAAGCATGTGATATTTTCAGAAGGTCCTCATGAATTATTTAAAACAACTACCCATTTACTTTTTTCTTGTATCTTTTCTCTTGCCAGCAGGAAGAATATGTTTGCCTTTCTTATTTAGCTCATGCATTCTGAAAACATAACTAAGGCTGTAGCTTTTGCCTCTCTGACCCAGTGTCCTCCTCTTTAAACAAGTTCTTATCTTTGTATCTCTTCATTTGCAAGTTGAGATAGTTAAACCAAAATATTCAAATCTTCTAGTATTTTATGTTTTTACAAAACTATATAAAGACTAAGAATGATTTGTTCCTTCTAAATGTGAATGTACATTTCTGTGCCTTGCCTTGAGGCTATAAAAATCCTAAGCCACCAAACTTATTACCGTGGAATTGATTATTACTTCTAAAGTCTTTATAGGAGAATTACCTTGTAGAAGTTCCATGGTTCAAGCTGCTAGTTTTTTAGGTAGCAGCCAGCCACCTGGTCACTATACGATAAGGGCTCCTTGACTCAAAAATGGCAACTAAAAATTTCTTTCAAAAATGAGGTAACACAAAGAACTCAGTCCCCTATTATCTTTTGGCTCCATCTTCCTAGTTCCCCTTAGATCATACCTGATATTCTGTCAGAAATGTAAAAGGATTATGTTTGTCCCTATGTGATCTATAATGCCCTGAGAAATAGCCACTAGACTTTAAGGAGATTTAGTAACTCTTATTGCCAAAAGAACAAACAGATATGTGTTGGAGGAAATGCAGCCAGAAATGCTTCTTGGAGGCAAGGATGGCAAAGCTTCAAAGACATACATTGGACATGTAGTTGTAGTTAGGAGGGCCTATTCCTTGGAAAGAGACATCATGCTTGGAAAAGTGGAAGGTCAGCAAAAGAGAAAAACCCTCAGTGAGATGGACTGACACAGTGACTGCGGTAGTGGACTCAAGTGTGTAAGGGATGATGAGGATGGTACAGGATAGAACGGGGTTCAGGTCTGCTGTTCATGGGGTCATTAGGAGTCATAATGACTCATAACAACAACAGTGGAGGTGGGAGGCAAAGGAAAAGAAGATAGTCCTTGGCATGATCATATGAGATTGAGAAAAGACTTATATCTGGGTAGAAATGCACAGCAAGAATGAGGCGTGTAGAAGTCATCAGACACTGACAGTGGTGGCTCAGTACTAAGTTAGCTTTTAAATTATAAAATAAGGTTTTAAAGCTTGTTAAAAATAGAAAACCAGCTCTACTGGGTAAAGGAAATACTTGAGTACGGAAGTGAATGTGCCTGACAATTTTATGCGCTAATTTAAGTATATTTACATATGCACTCAAAAACTCATTGCCACTGCATTGGAACCAACTCACAGCTGGCCCTTCAGTTGGTTTTTGTAGGGTGTAAATCACACAGGAGGAGATTGCTCATCTTTCTCAGAGCTGCTGGTGAATTCAAACTGTTCGAAAGAGGGGCACCTAATAGATACCAAAACGTGGACATGATTTGGGGGGAGTATTTATTGAATGCCTATCTTTTTCATCTGTAGAGCGTAGAGCTTATTTAAAGTAATTTCACTTTTTATTTATGAACTGGGATCATCATTCTAAACTGCCCCGTGAGGTTTCCATTTCTGTAATCAATACAGAAGCCAACTTTCACCACCACCCTTTCCGTTAGTGGTTTATCAGTGAACTACTACACCACCAGAGCTGCTTTTCTATATAATTTTTGTATGTCTCTATACATAGAGAACGGGTTATTCATGTAAGATCTGCTGATAGTGAATCCATTCTGCCTCACAGAGAGCCTATAGGATAGAGCAGAACTGCACCATAGCTGTAATCCTACAGAGCACAGCGTTCACCAATGGAATCCCAGGTGGCTTCAAACCAGCAACCTTTCTGTCAGTGTGCCACCACAGTCCAGGTTTACTCTTGAGTAACAAGCTAAGCAGTCAGCCACAGAGCTAATTTGTAGTAGAGAAGAGGAGAAACATTTGTGGACTGGTTCCTTTCTGCAGTGTGCTATCAATATTGACCCAATTTATTTCTCCTATAAATTATAAAAAAAGAAACATGAATTTTTAAAGAGGAAATAATACTGCTTTGTGCATACATCTCTTAGAAATAAAATAAGTGTTTTCATTATTCATATTAATTGAGAATTCAGCTTTGCTGTTTAGCTCACGCTTCACTTAACTCTATCAGCTGTACCATGGGTAACAGTGTTCTCTCATTACGATTACAG